GGGGAGCACAGATGGCACTTAGAAATCACGCAGTTTATCCTGGAGCGAGGGAGGATTTTTCTCTGGATTTCTGCGTGTGCTTACGGTCTGAGCCAGGAACTCAGCCAGCTGCCTAGTAGTGCAGGTGAGCCTTGCGGTGCAGGTGCAAAGCATTCCAAGGAGGTTGCAGAGGATGGTCCGTGCCTGAGGCGTCCTGCAGCCAGCCCCAAACCCGAGAGAGTTTGGTGTCAGGGTCGGGTCCAGGGTCGGTCCCAAGGGTGCTGGCAAGGGAACAGGGCCAGGCACCGGGGGCAAGGCCTGGGGGTGGAGGGAGGGGAGGCTGGGCAGTCTGGGGGTGCTGCTGGGCCTGGCCGTTCTCCCTCCGCGGTGCGCACTTGTCCATGCGTCTGGCCACAGCCAGCTGGAACCTGCCCGGCGGCTTCATTGTGAGACTGGCTGAGCGCCTCGTTTATTATCTGGAGGCTCATTGAAGCCAGCTGCAAATCAGGGCACTCGTGCGCTGACCCTGAAGGGGCACGGCCGAAGAGGTCAGTCCTTCGGGATTGGTCTGAGGGCAGATACCACGCAGTTTGTTTTATTAAGTGATTAACTGGGTGTGAGGCAGTCCCTGAGGTGGAGAATGCTGGCTCCTCACGCAGGGGAGCTTGTCTAAGAAGAGCGGAGCTGTCTAGGCTTACTCTAAGAAGGAGGTGGGAACGGATGGGCTGCCGAGTCCCTCCCAGTTCTGTGAGTCAAAGCCTTTTCCTGAAACCTTGGATTTCTTGGCCCACTTGAGTGGGTTGCAAATTCCCCTTTCCTGCCTCTAACTCTCCCTTGAGCGCCCTCTGACTGGGTTCTCATGACATCACAAGCCATGCTGGCTTCTTCTTCTTCTGTTTGTTTTTAACCACTGTTGGTCTGTTGCATCATCGGAACCTCATGGCATCAGGGAAGGAGGGTGAGCGGGGTGTGGGTAAAAATGATGATGCAGATGTCATGTTGCGGGGAAGGCATGTTGGCCTTGTAGATGCCTTCAGAGGTTGAATGGATACTTGACTGGCGATGATTATGAGGACCTCCAGGCCCCCCTGCACCCTGCGCACAGGGACATGATCTCGGGGGCCTTAGAGCTGCTCCCCTCCCTCGCACCTGGGGTGTGAACCTTCCTCTCCCTTCTGTTGTGCCGGCATTTTGTATGCAAGTTACTGGGGAACACTGCTGCCCCCTTTACAAACACATTCCTAGGCTGGTCTCCTCAAGCCTAGCTTAGGTTAGACCTGGAATTACAAACCTTGGGCTGCAACCCAGAATCACCTTCCTAAGTGTATGCACATTGAGTGCAAACTGACGTACTTCTGAGCAGATCTGGAGAGAGTCACACTTTCTGGTGAGGTTTGAAATCCACCTGGGAGGGTTCAGAGGAGTGTGCCTGGGGAACTCACTCAATGAGCCTCCCAACCGCCCTAAGCGCCCAAATACAATCCGCCTTCCCTTTCTGAATCTCTTTTACTCTCTCCAGCTGCTTTTGCAATTCTGACCTAACCAGCTCTTACTCTTTCACAAACACCTCCTTCTTTGGGCAGATTCTTAGTTGGTGTTCTTGGACAAAGGATTCATTTAAAGGGTAAGATGATCCCCACGTATCTGCCGAAGAGCTCTTTGGAAAGACTTCCTTTTTAATTACTGTGATATGAACCACCCAAGTCTTCTCAAAATACAGCTTCATTACGGTTCTTGCCCTTTAAGTACGATATAATTTGCGCTTGGCTGATCAGCTTCAAATCTCTGTTTAGGACTGTCAACACTTGGTGAGCAGTGTGGACTTGCAGAAATGCTTCTAAAAGTAATGACAGAGAGGTCACATTTCCTTTCACCGCAAGAGCTGCAACTTTTGTCTATGACTAACTTGCTGCAAATGTAAATAAAAACACTTTGGCATGAACAAAGTGGCTCAGATATTTGTACAATATGCACAACAAGCTACATACACTGTTAGGGAAAAATAATCTGCCCTCGAAAGACATCTCCCATCTTTGGGCTGGTTCGTGCATGCAATCACGTGGGTCAGTTACTCCACACAGCGGAACAAAAAGCATCGGTGGCGGCAATGTGGCGTGTTCGGCCCATTCAAGGCACCGCGTGGCGCTGCAGCCGTCAGGTGGGCTCTGCACAGGCCTCGGACCGCCTCCTGGGGGGGCCCCAGCCCCTGCGTGGTCTGATGCTCACTGCTGAGCCTGGCCACGCACCCCGTGGGCGGCGCTTGGGCACAAGCTCGCAGAACGTGCTTTGGGCGCCCCTTTCCTTCGGCATCGCGGCAAGACAGGTGCTTCGTTCTGATGTGACAGGCAGGATGACGCTTTGTGATGTCAGTTCAGGAGCGCTTTTGGCGCCTGGTGTGCTCCGCTCTTTGTCTGGGGCGGAGCTGAACGGTCATATTTTTTAATGCCAGCAAAAAATTCTTTAGTTGCTGTGCAGGGGCAACAATACATTGTATGATGCAGATACGGTGCCACTGGGAAACCATGATGGCTTTGCGGGTGGACAAGCTCACGCGGATGCTGGGGCTCAGTGGCAGGGGGCTCGCTGCATTTTGCTTGTCCCTCCTTTGGAAGAGTGATCTGGAGCCCTCCAGCACAAGTACCTCCTTGGGTACCCGTTAGCATCCAGGTGTATCTGCCCTGAAGTGGAGGATTTCCTCTGGCATCCTCAGCAATTCTCTGCCACAGAAGCAATTGCTTTCTCAGTCGTTGGACCTCCCGAGACCAGCATTGTGCTGATCTCCACCGTCTGTTTATTTCCATCTATTCTTTGGGGGCAGAGGAGTGAATTGCAATTGTGTGAAGAGGAGAAAATTTCAGAGGAATTTCTCAGGGTGCAGGGTCCAAAAAGGAAGTGGCTGAGAACTGCATGTGGGAAGACCTTCATCTCCTCGTCCTCGTTCAAGGGACTTTAAAAAATGAACAAGCCAAAAACAGCAGCCTGACTTTTAGGCACTCAGCACTGGGAAAGCTTCAAGTCGCAGCCACATCACTGAGGAGGCTTTTCAGAAAGCTGGAGAAATAGGAGGAAAAGGGCAAAAGAAAATGTGCACGCAGGATCATTCCCCCTTGGCCTCCTCCCTTCAGTAAGGCAAGTGCTGGAACACTGAGGATTTTCTCTGGAATTCTCAAAATCCACCCAGGAGGGGCAGAAGAATGACTACTTCTTTCACAGGGAAATGAGGAGGCTGCAAAGTTTCTGCAAGACACCACCTTTCTCTTCTTTGGGGAACTGATCCCTGCCGAGGTACAGGAGTCTGCCCATTCTCCATGTCCATCCATGCTGTTTGGGCTAGAAAAGGCAATATATCCCACCCTTCTTACATGCTAATTTGCTTGGCTTCGTCTTAGGAAGGGCACCATCCATCCATCCACCGCTCCCGTGGGGGTGCCGTCCCGATGCTGGCGCGGCCTTCCAGCTGCACTGTCATTTTGGCCCTTTGCCAAAAGGGCGCCCTGCACGATGCCTCTGGGAAGCTGTGCCGTGGCCGCACTCGGATGCATCTCTCACCTACGCACTCCCTGCCCGTGGAGGAACTTGGGGGAAGGCCAGCGTGAGCATCGGCGCTTTTCCCAGGAGGTCCGTGCTGCGCCTTTTGGCGCATGTGCGTTGCGTGCACAGGGGTTTCCGTGCTTCCTCACTGAGCTGGGGAAACGTTTTTGGGCGCCGGAAAAGTGGGGCTGCATCAAGAAGGCTGAGCCTTTCACCCTGCCGTGCTGCTTTTCGGCACAGCATCGCCTCCAAACCCGTCGCTGAAGGGAGCAGGCCGCGGAAGAGCCGCTGCGTGGGTGCCCTGCCCCGGAGCCCTGCCCCTCGACACGTGCCGTGCCGGCCGCTCAAGGGCGTGGGAGGTGCAAGAGGCCAGGAAAGGCAACGGGGCACGGACGCAAAGGCCAGAGTCCTGCTGAGGCCACAGCAGAAGAAGGGAAATGCTGGCGAGGTGGAGCGGCCGCAGCAAAGGTGGGGCAGGGTGTTCTGGGAAGGCAGCAGCGTGGTGGAAAAGAAAAAGAGGCCAGAGAGAGGGTGCCCTCCTCACAGAAGCAAAGGACTGGGAAAAGCCCTGCTTGCTGCTTCCGCAGGAGCACAGCTAGAGTTATTTCACCCTATTCCCATTTACCCCAAATCCCAACGTTCAGTAAATCCAGCAGGATCGTCTGTTGCACACGCGTGGAGCGACTGTGCCCTGCGTCTCCGAGCAAAAGAAACCTGAGACATTACACACAGGTCCACGCACACTCCCCCTGCACACACAGGCTTGCGGGACACGGCCAGCCACAGGCAGGCGCCTTCAGACAGGGACTGGGTACCTCGCTGGGACGATGTAGAGGCACATATGAGACGAGCAGCCGGAAGGCTTGTCCTCACCTGCTGTAAATAAAGCTGATGTACTGAAGAGAGGCAGTCTTGGGGGTTCCAGGAGGGATGGAGCCGATTTGGAGCAAAGCAGCATCCCAACAAATCTGTATTCAAATTATTCGATTTGAATATGAAAACTCCTGGTTTAGGTTTTCTTTTCTGAACATCGGATGACTGGCTAGACTTCAGCTTTCGGACAAAAATAGATTTTGCAAAATGCAATATACATCATAAATATTTCATTTTTGCCCTCGTTTATAGCTCAGGCCCTTTTCCATCCTATCTGACCCTTCTGCAGGAGAGTGACAGGTATGGAACAGAAGTAATAAAACCTGCCCCTGTAGGGGGAAGGAAGGGGCAAGGATGGAAAATGAGGGGACCCCCCCCCCCCCCCGCAGCACAAATGCACCAATCCCAGTGTGCAGTTTGGGATCCCTCACTGAAAATGCACTTGCAGATGAAGATCTGAATGGCCAAAGTCTGGCAGGCACCACAAAAGACGGAGACACTCCAATCATGAGCGCATGAGTTTGTCCGTGCTGCTAAGGCGGACCACTGCGTCTGTTTGGCCGACGGAAACCAAGTTACGCTTTCAACTTGGCACGTCGTGTGGATGAGTGGGCGGCTCAGGAAAGCGTATTCGAATAGAAGCTTAAGCTCTCTGACACAGTTTTGGAGTCGCTGCGGGAGGAGCCATTGGAGGTCAGATCCACCGAGAGCCGCTTTGCTCTGCCGCTGTCCTCCAGGTCCTCCTCCGGGTTGCCAACAACAGAGGAGACGGTGGTCTCCATCCGGCTGACCTTGTACATGCTGCTCTGGGTCTGGAAGTACCTAGCCGACTTCATTTCCAGCCCTTCGTATTCACTGGCACTGATGAAAGGGCACCACCGGAAAGCGCGCTTGAAGCCGATCCGGAACCTGAGAAGACAGACGGGAGCAGCTGTGTGAAACCTGAGGTGTGCCAGGAGCATCCAGGAAGCTGCCGTGGAACATGGCATGCACAGCGCAGAGCCCAGAATCCCATTTCGCAACTTGGGCAATCCTGTTTCCCCCTCTTTACAAGCTCTGCGGGTCAGGATTTAACACTTCTTGGCCCTGACAACCCAAGCTGCATCCCTCACTGATGGCTGTCCAGCTGCCCCTTGGATGCCTCCAGTGTGGGAGAGCCCCCCACTCCTGGAGTCACTGGTTCCAGTGCCGTACTGCTTTAACAGCCAGGAAGGACCTGGCTTCCTGCAACTCGAGCCTGCTGTTTTGTGTCCTGCTCTCTGGCTCTTCTCAGTGTGGCAGCCTTCCAGATATTTGAATTATGCTCTCCCATCTCCGCTCCGTCTTCTCCTGCCTAGGCTTTGCCTCCAGTCCCCTGGCCCTCTTGGCTGCTCACGGCCAGACACCGAACTCCAGAAGAGTCTGCCAGCATCTCAACTGACCACCCAGATTTAGAACCCGCAGCATCACAGTCCAAATCACAGCGTCCAGAGCCGCACAACATGCAGGAGTGAACACGCTTGTTGCACGGGAAACACCGGTCGGAGCGAGCCCTTCAGCACAGTCTCAGCCTGCCGGGCGGCAGCACCTTCCTTACCTGTCGTTGAGGCAGCAGTAAATGATGGGGTTGTACATGGTGGAGCTCATGGCCAGCCACAGGATGGCCAGGTAGACCTGCTGGATGTACCTCTTCTCGTACCAGTCCTCGTTGAAGTGATGCAGGACGAAGTACACGTGGAACGGCAGCCAGCAGACCGCGAAGGTGCACACCACCACGATCATCATCTTCACGACCTGCAAGGGCAGCGCGTCTGAGCGGAGGCGCCCACCCACCTGCGCCTGGAGGCGCGCGGGGCCGAGCGGGGAGGCCCTGCCCCAGCCGGCCCGCGAAGGGGGGCCTGGGCCGAGCAGCCCTGCAGTGCCTGCGGCTGCTCTGGGGCTTGCGGCCCCCCCAGCCCACCCGCTGTGCGCACCGAGAGGAGAGCTCCCGGCAGCGCCCGCAGGAGCTTTGGTCTCGAGGCAGAGAGCACGTGCAAGGGGACCGTGCCCGGGTTCCGCCCACCCCCGGCCAGGTCAGGCAAAAATACGCCGCGGCCACCTGTGCCAGTAGGTGCCACTGTGAAGTTATACTTGGGCATGACAAGAGGGGTGAACGGCAGTGGCCATTCCCCTCCCCTGGGAGGATGAGGACCGGCGGCAGGTGGGGCAGCGCTGCCATTACGGCATCGGGCGATTGCAGAACTTGACGGCAGGAGCGATTGGGCCAAGTGAATTTCGGAGAGAGAGCATAACGTCGGTGTCACGTACACCAAACGGGGATTGTTATGTGGAGCTGATGGCGCCCATTAGGAGCCTCCAGGAAGTCTCTTTGTAGTGTACTATATAAATGGAATTCTAATCTGGTAAGAATTGCTACTCCTTCATGGATCACGGCCTGGTCGTGGCGAAGGGGCTTGCGCAGCGCAATGAAGCTCTGAGCTGTGCCGTGCAGGGCCACCCAAGACGGACAGGTCGCAGCAGAGAGCTCTGACAAAACGTGATCCCCTGGAGAAGGAAATGGCAGCCCACTCCAGTACCCTTGCCGTGAAAACCCCCGGGACGGTACCAAAAGGCCAAAAGATATGACGCCGGAAGATGAGCCCCTCAGGTCGGAAGGTGTCCAATGTGCTACTGGGGACACGCAGAGGGCTAGTACTCGTAGCGCCAGAAAGAAGGAAGCGACTGGGTCAAAGCCGAAGGGACACTCAGTTGCGGATGTATCTGGTGGTGAAAGGAGAGTCCGATGCTGGAAAGATCTATACTCCACAGGAACCCGGAGTGTAAGATCCATGAATCACAGCAAGCTGGACGCGGTCAAACAAGAGGTGACAAGCCTGAACATGGACATCGTAGGAATCAGTGAACTACAATGGACAGGAGTGGGTGAATTTAGTTCAGATGACCATCAGGTGTACTATTGCAGGAAAGAATCCCTCAGAAGAAATGGAGTAGCCTTCATAGTCAATAAAAGGGTAGGAGAAGCAGTACTGGGATTCAGTCTCCACAATGACAGAATGATCTCAGTTGGAATCTAGGGCAAACCATTCAACATCTCAGTAGTCCAAGTCTTTGCCCCAACCACTGGTGCTGACGAGGCTGAAGCTGACCGGTTCTGTGAAGGCCTACAACACCTTCTAGTATTAACACCAAAAAGGGATGTCCTCATCATCTTGGGGGATTGGAATGCGAAAGTAGGAAGCCAAAAGATAACTGGAATAACAGGCAAGTTGGGCCTTGGAGTACAAAATGAAGCAGGGCACAGGCTGGTAGAATTTTGAATTTTGTCAAGAGAATACAGTGGTCATAGCAAAGAGTCATGGAGAAAGCTAGGGAGTTCCAGAAAAACAACAACTTCTGCTTCATTGACTATGCTAAAGCCTTTGATTGTGCGGATCACAACAAACTGTGGCAAGTTCTTAAAGAGATGGGAGCACCAGACCATCTTATTTGTCTTTTGAGAAACCTATATGCGGGTCAAGAAGCAACAGTGAGAACTGGACACGGAACCACTGATTGGTTCAAAATTGAGAAAGGAGTTCGGCAAGGCTGTATACTGTCACCCTGCCTATTTAACTTATATGCAGAGCACATCATGAGAAAGGCGGGCCTAGATGAATCACCAGTTGGAATTCAGATTGCTGGGAGAAATATCAACAACCTCAGATATGCAGATGATACCACTCTAATGGCAGAAAATAAAGAGGAACTAAAGAGCCTCTTGATGCGGGTGAAGGAAGAGAACGCAAAAGTTGGCTTGAAACTCAACGTTAAGAAAACTAAGATCATGGCATCTGGTCCTCTCACTTCCTGGCAAATAGATGGGGAAGAAATGGAGGTAGTGACAGATTTTATTTTCCTGGGCTCCAAGATCACCGCAGACGGGGACTGCAGCCAAGAAATTAAAAGACGCTTGCTCCTGGGGAGGAAAGCTATTGCAAATCTAGACAGCATACTAAAAAGCAGAGACATCACTCTGCCAACAAAAATGCGTTTAGTCAAGGCCATGGTTTTCCCAGTTGCAATGTATGGCTGTGAAAGCTGGACCATAAGGAAGGCTGAGCACCGAAGGACTGAGGCCTTTGAATGGTGGTGCTGGAGGAGACTCCTGCGAGTCCCTTGGACCGCAAGGCGATCAAACCGGTCAGTCCTAGAGGAGATCAACCCTGACTGCTCTTTAGAAGGCCAGATCCTGAAGATGAAACTCAAGTACTTTGGCCACCGAATGAGAAGGAAGGAGTTCCTGGAGAAGAGCCTGATGCTGGGAACAATAGATGGCAAAAGAAGGAGGGGGTGGCAGAGGATGAGGGGGCTGGATGGAGTCACTGAGCTTAAGTGGACACCGGGGATGGGGGAGGACAGGAAGGCCTGGAGGAGTGTTGTCCATGGGGTTGTGATGGGTTGGACACAACTTCGCGACTAACAACAGCAACTGCTAAAAAGTATCTCTGTGGAACTGATCCATTTTGGAAATGTGGTAGATAGAGGGAGTACCTTTTGAGTTATTTGACAGGAATGCAGGAAGACAAGCAATGCTTCTTGGGCATTGTTGAGGATGTTAAAAGCTGTAAAACACCACGAACTCCTAAAACAATGTTGTTGAGAGTGATAACGGTTTAAGAAAGGAGCCACACACTGTGGGAAATGATGAAATAGCAGCTCACAGGCAGTCGGCAAAGGTGCAGGATACTGGATTGCACTAGCTTTGGGCCAGCTAAGGAGGACGATCTGGAACGGAGCGCTGATGAATACAATTGCAGCTTGCGCACAGCTGTGGGGAGGAAGAAGCTGCTCAAGAGCAACTCTCCAGAGAAACTGGACTCATATTCTTCAGTTCTGGAATCAAAACCCGGAGAGCCAATGGGACGTAGTGGTGAGAGCATGGAGCTGGGCCTGGCCTAGATGCAAAGGCAGCAGTGCATGGTTGCTGGGAAATTCCTCCCCTCTGGCTGTTTATTGGATGGCAGCTCAGCTCGGAGAGGGTGGGGTAGGAAGGGGCCATGCTGACCATCTGGATCCACTGCATTGCTGCCCTTACGGAGCCGGAGCCGGAACGGCCTTCTCCTTCGGGTGCTCCCGCCGGACTCCCCAGTGGTTGCACCCGGCCACTCACCTTGCGCTTGGCGGACACCTGCTCATGGTAGCGGTCCGAAGAGTCCCCCGGTATCTCGCTTGCCCACAGCGTCAGTCCAACCACTGTGTAGGCGTAGCCTATCACTAGCAGGGGCAAGACATAACATAGCACCGTCACGGACAGGTGGTACCTGCAAGAAGGCGAGGAGCATTAGGAGCATCACCGCAAACAAGGCCAGTGGCTTTCCGTGGCCTCAAGCATGCCATGGCACTTCTGCAGCCCATCCGGCCCATGCCAGTTTAGCGAGCAAGGTTGCCTCCAGGGGATGCTTTAGAACACCGATTCCCTACAAGCACCATGACCAAATAAAGCCAGCCGAGCCGTTCCACTATGGATTGGTTTGATTTGCTCGCAACTCGTAAGATAAAATTATCCAGGCATTTTACAGTAATTATACCAATGCAAATTAAATTGCATTGGTATAATTACACGTTCCAATGGAGCAAAGCTCAGGGAACCCAGGTTCCATTTGGATGCCAGGAAGCACTTGCTGACGGTTAGGACCCCGAGGGTGTGGAATGGGCTTCCACGGGAGGTGGGTGAGGCCCCATTGGTGAGGGTGTTCAAAGACAAGCTGGACATGCACATGATGGGCATGTCGTAAGCAGAGCCGGCTGGTGCCGGAGGTCAGACTAGGCCCCTTCTGACTCGCTATGTTCCTATGTTTCTAAAATCACAAGAAGATCAATAGACAGATCTGCCAACACAGAATAAACAGGAACCGGGATGGTAAGCAGCTTTGTAAGGACTAGGATAAGAAAATACAGGAATGCAGGAATACTTTAAGAGAGGGACTCTGTGGTCCCTAGAAACCACCTGGGTGCCCTGGGATGCACTGGATTCCCAGTGGTCCCAGCCCCCTTTTCCCAGCTAAAACGCAAAGTGGAAACTGGTGATCCTCCACATTCTGCGTTAGAGGCTCATCAGCTTCTGCGTTTGTGGGATTCCAAACTATTCAGGGTGCAGTTGTGCTGTAAAAGCCTTGAAAAATGTGAAAAGCCTGGGAGAACAGGCAGACAGAACAGCCCTCAGGGCTCCTTGCTGCGGCCTTGCTCAGGAGCACGTGGGGAGGGCTGGCACGAGGGGCTCCGTTTCACATGGCAGCCATCTTGTTGGCTTGGGGGCACCACGTTGCCCCTTGACTGGGGGCAGGGGGAGAGAAAAGCACCTTGCACAGCCTGAATCCCCCCTCCCCAACACACACACACACACACACACACACACAGTGTCTCCTGCTGGAAAACCAGTGGAGATTTCTGTTCTAATGCTGTTTATGTTGTAAGCCGCCCCGAGGCTTGTTGCGAATGGGGCAGCATAGAAATGGTTTAAATAAATAAATAAATAAAATAAACAATGCGCCTCTTCTTAGCACACTGGTAAAGTAGCTAAAGGCTTGCAAGATTTGGCAACTAAATCTTAGACTGAACTTAATGAGCAGCTCCAGTCTAATGACACGTATCCTGTTTAATACAGAGACGCTGACGTTGTTGAAGTCGTTCAAGAGGGTGTTCCCAAAGAGCCTTGCAGGAGGACTTTATGGTGCTTGGCTGCAATTACGTAACGCGTTTAAAACTCCCCCAGAACCAAGCGCTGCTTTGTCGCACCACTTCTTTCTCAAAGCATACACCCCAATTCTGAGTGCCTGGCCGCATTCCAGGGCCCAGGCTGTGGAAACCAGGGTGTTGCCTTACTGTGCCAGCCCTTGTTCCATCTAGCTCCATAGTGCCAGCACAGACAGGCAGCAGCAGCAGTTTCAAGTGACTGTTGAGGCAAAAATGGAGAAGCAGAATTGTCCCCTGTAGGCAAAGGCAAGGGTGTATTTTATCACCTCATCTGCTCCGTCTTTTCACAGAGCATGTCACAAGGAGAGCTCGCTTACAATCGGGGTGCAGGAGGGAACACTGACAGAAGAGACATCACTAATTTAAGATATGCAGATGGTACCATATTACTGGCAGAAAGCAGCAATAAGCTGAAACGACTCTATGAAAGTGAAAGAAAAAAGCACAAAAGCAGGACTGCAGCGGAATATTAAGAAAACAAAAATCATGTCCATAGAAGATGCAGAACTTTCCTGTCAATGACGAAGAAATCAAAATTGGGAAAGATTTTGCATACCTTGGCTCAGTCTTTAATTCAGAGGGAGACTGCAGCCAAGAAATTTGAAGAAGACAGCCTTGGAAGAGGAGCAGGGAAGGAACTACAACAGATAATCAAATGCACCGAAATCATTGTATTCCCAGTCATAATGTCTGGTTGTGAAAACCGGACTGTGAAGAAAGTTGACAGGAAGAAACTGGATACCTGTGAAGCATGGTGCTAAGAGGAGAGCTTTGTGAATCCTCTGGACCAATGTAAAGACAAGCAAGGAGGTCCTAGATCAAATCAAGCCAGGGCCTTTTCCAGAAGCAAGGAATGGCAAAACTGACGCTGCCCAACTGCAGTCGCATCCTAAGAAGGCGAGACTCCCTGGAGACGGCGACCATGTTTGGGAAGGAAGGGAGGGCCAGAGATGAGCTCCATCACGGCAGCCACAGCCTGGACTTTACGAGAGCTGAACAAGGCTGCCAGGGACAGGGCACTCTGGAGAGGTTTCACACACAGCGTCGCCATTAGTCAGAGGCAGCTTGGTGGCACGTAACAACATGCACAAGAGAAAAAGCTTCCAACTTTGTGTTACAAGAAGAATCTACCTTTGTCTGCAGGTGCTCAGAGAAGATGTAAACATAGCTAAGCTAAAAGACTTGACTTTGTTCCCTGCTTTGCAAATGAAGGCTTGAGTGGGAATATTATTGACTGATTGCAGGGGGTGAAGGGAAGGGTAATATGCTCTGTGACTTGTTTTCAATTATGTATATTTCCTAGTGCCTTGATTAATCAATTCCTTTGCTTCTTTTGCTATGCTTATTTGTTCTTTGGGGCTGTTTGGAAATATGTTTTCTAAAATGGGGTCATTGTTTGGAGGGAGCGCAATAAAAATCATGGGGGGTGAAGGGAGGGGGTAGCAGAGAAAAGAATACCATGATGGATCATGTACCTCTCAGACAGTAGAACCCTTTCGAGAGAGCCAGTCCCAAAGCTAGTAAAACAATGCACAGCAAATGTGGATTCTGCGTTGGCTAACTTAGAAGCGGTGGCTTCCTGGAACGGGGTAAGAGAAGCCTGCAGCCGTGGGCACGCACTTGCTTGGCTGCTGTGCGTCTGGGATACCTCGCCTGTCCTCAGCTTGGCCCACCAAGCTCTTTTGGCCTAAAGGGCCCTTCTGAGGTCTGGCTGCTCTTTCATGGATCTCCTGCCGTCTCGGAAGCTGCTGAATGGCGGCCTTTCCGATGGCTGCTTTGTCGGGCAACGGCCGTCAGTCCTCTGCACCCTCCCAGCCAATCGGTTTCAGAGGCTTCCTCCACAGTGTCGATGAAATACAGAGGGACTCTGAGATGCAGGTTTTTTGTTTTAACATTTCAACATTCCCCTCATTTGCTTTGTTCTGCACGCCAGCTCTGCTTGTGCCTCCGATGTGCTCCACTGAGGGAGACAGGAAAAAGGAGAAAAGCAAACGAAAGGCATTTGTTTCCAGAGGCGCGTTGCTGCATTCGAGTGCAGCCTGTGGCACCTCTCATCAGCCGTCCGATTGGCGCCCAGCCTTCTGCTTTATTCATGAGCGCATCCGGCTGCTTGGCGAAGCCAGTGGGTTTTCCAGAATTCAGCAAGGCTTCTGCCTAAGCCTTCGGCCTCTGCTTGGAGGCAGAGTGCAGTCGAACACTGGCTACGTATCAAGCTGGGTGCCTTAATCATCACATCGGTGAACAGATTAGGGTTTGCATCCGTAAAGACGCAGCAAAAGCAGCCTGTGATGACCCAAGTGGCCTTCCGGTTCCAGAGATGCTCTCAGCCTCACCCCTCCATCAAACTCGTGAAGTAATGAATGCCTGCAGGCTGCGGCTGTGGTGGGCCCTGAATTTCTTTTCCGGAGTATGAGTACCCTCCTCTTCTCCTTTCTGAAGGACATGCGCATTCCACTCATTCGTTCATCCCTGGTGACCTGCCTCTTGGCACGGCACCACAGTCCGAGCTTACCTTTCGCCCCGCATCCCTTTCCATTACAGTGTTCCAATTAGAGATTGTTGACACATTCAGCTTGGAGTCCTTGCATGGTGAGAAATCAAGTTTATTTTATTTATTAAACAAGCAGCATAGCCCTAGAGGGTTGTTCAGCAGCCTATATATTTGAAAAAATAATAAAGTAGCGATGTTGTACTCTGTGTGTGGAAACAGAGCTTTTCTCTAATTGTGAAAGGAGGCTGGTGTCCAGGAAAGGTCTCCCTGTACGGGATGCAGAAGGCTTGTGCACGTTTAAAGCTGGCAGGGCTCGAAGGACCAGTGGCAGATGGAAGAGGAGCACAGGCTGCACTTTGGGCTGCCATGCAAGCCCACTCAGGCCGGGTGCCGGCAGTGTCGCTGTTGCCATGTGGCCTTGCCCATGCGCATCACATTCATGGACCCCGGAGGGGCATGTGTCTGTTGCGCAGTGGCAAGAACTGGGATATCCAGCTGCGGAAAAGCAACTGACCCCAAGCTGGGCCCCCAAAACATGGAGCTAGCCATACAGCAAGAGCCGGAGATTTCAGTAAGCAGATATGTAATTTACCACCAAAATGCAAAGAGCATATGCACGAGCAGCATTCACGCAGAATTGCAGTTATTTAGATATGCCTTCTGATCTCCTGGAGCAGGTTTGGAAGCCACCTGCAGGTGAGGACTTTGTGGGGGATGGGAAAGTAGTCCTAACATGCGACGCCAGTAAATAGGCAGCTCTGCGCTCGCCCAGTCTTGGACTGGTCCACGGCGGGGACAGAGTTGTGGCCAACTGGGAAGGAGGGAGGAACCGCATCGCTCGGTGTGCATGCGAAGAGAGGTGCCTGAGCACTCGTCAGCCCGCTCCGCACTCAGCCAGCCTCTTGTTCCCAAAGGCAGCGTGGAAGGCCTGGCACCCGGCAGTGCTGGGGTGACCTCCCAGCTCCTGTGGCTCCTGCTCCGGACCAGAGCGAGTCCTGAGGGAGGGCAGGAATGCTTCAGGAACGGCTGTTGTGTGTAGCCTTGGCTTGAGGAGCTCAGGGCGGAGACCGGCAGCAT